GCCAGATGTGGCAACCGTTTTCTTGATGATCCTTAAAAATTTATTCAAACAATAAAAAATTCCTAAGCTGTTGTTAGTTTAATCAGCCGAGCAAAGCCGAGCATGACGGAGGTCAGAAGCAGCCATAGTTGATCGGGCGCGAACGCGGCGTGCACGTATCTCTGTGCTAGAGAACAAACACTTCAATTAGACACCGCCTCCGCGCGCTGCTAGTTCTTTCGTCTTGCCGTTGGTATCGTGTTAGGACCAGTAGTCCGCGGCGGAGGCGGTGCCTAATTGAGGTGTTCGTTCCTTTACCCGTATCTCTGTTGTAAATCCTGCGCCTCAGGCGATCTGCGGCTAATAATAAAGCCGCGGACTCGCCCGAAGAAATTTCGCCTTCGTCATGCAGAAGCCTACAGTACAACTGCTAATACACTTCCCCAGATTTTTGGATATTTTCTTTTCAAACGGTCTCCACAGTGGCATCATATGCTGTGCGTTTCTACATTAACGAAGAACGACATTCATTGTAACGTAAATCAGTTGAAGCCAGTACAAAAGAGTACCTCAACAGTGGAAAAAGTGCATATACATATCTTTGCGAAAATTCATAAGAATTTATTCTTCTACGAAACTTCTAGAAAGTGTTGCAAAGATTGTCCCCAGCCACCAATATTCAAAGCTTACCAATTGCGCTGTCGGCTGCATTGGTGTCTCAGTTCCCACGACTCTGCACCTCTTCCGCGAACATGCTCTCTAATCATTCCCAATCGATTGATTCTCCCCTTTCCCACGCCCACGGGTGGGAAAATTGCATGTGCGCGAAAGAGGTTCTAAGTCCAGACGAAGCGTCCGCTCATTTTAAGGTTAATAAGATAATGTAAGCCTAATATTGGGATAAGTTCTGCGGCAGTAAACGCAATGCCATTTTCAAGCGCACTTTATATGATAATGTATTCAGGTAGGAATTTCCATGGGTAGCTTTGATCCGCACATGCTGTTTTTTGCAATTCCTGAATTGATTCCATATATTACCGGTCTACCAGAACTTATGGATGGTATAGCCAGTTGTGCAGGAGCTGAAGTAAGTTTGTCACTCTTTCTATAAAGTGCGGATAATCCTTTTAGTACATTAATGGAAGTTACGAATTTGACTGCAAAGACGCGGAGAGTATCCCAGATCTTGTAATTACTTACGGACAGATTCCTCTTCATATAGCACCGAAGCGTCTTATCAAAAAGGTAACTGATTTTTGTATCTGGGCATTTTTGCCAGATTCATAATTCTTTTTGAAGTGAGCTTTGGATTGAACTAACAACTCTTTTGAGATATCGATCTTTACAAGCGCAATACATGTATCACTACAAGAAATCTTTTGCAATGATACTAATGCATGAACATATAATATAATGTAGTATAATATAATAAGTCCTGTACAACAACATCAATGTAGATTCCCGGTCCGAATCAATGAATATTGCCATTGCTAAAGTTAATTTTCTCAAGCGGAGCCAAGATTGGTACATATCTTTGGCGCACAATCTGTGTAGGCTTTTTTTGTGTTGAAAAGTGAGAGGAGATCACTAGTAATGCTCTAGGACTAGACTTAAAAGTGGGTTTCCTTATCGCATTTTACTTGGGATTCCTATGTAACATATTGTCATAGCTACAGGTCGTCTTTGCTAATAACTTTTCTCAAAACTATTGAAAAGCAAGTTTTGATGAGCTTTTATAATAGAAGCATACTACATATAAATTTTTAAACCCTGCTTTGATTCTGAAATGTGGTACCACTTTCTTGTTTTTCAGTTACGCCATGGATAAAAGCGAAGCGCAAAGCGAAATATTACATTAGAAAGGAGAATGAAAGAGCATAAGTAGGCTGTTGACTAAATTTTGCAACTGGGTCCGTAACTTTTCGCTTTTCATGATTTCGCGCTCAAACTTAACACGTTGACGACCTTGTGCATATGCTCGTATGC